ATAAATTTATATATATATATATATATATATATAAAAATTTATAAATTTATATATATATATATAAATTTACTGCCTAAAAAATTGTCACACATGCAATAGGAAAGTTGTCCAATTAAACATTGTACAATTTCAAAATATATAACAAGTTGTCACATATTCAATTAAAAATTATTCGGCTTGAAAAAATTAGCCTGAAGTGATGACTAATCACTAATGTTTTATATTTTATATCTACTATATATAATCTCTCTCATAAAATTAGTGTGATGTATTATTCATACATATTTGTGTAGATATACACCAATTCTTTTGTCCAACTGTTATATAAATTATCATATTATAAATAGATTCATCTTATACTTCCATTTAAGTTCCAGCGGCACAAGTTCCTTCTGATTTTGGGGTTCCATTTAACAGTCATGATCAGTCTTTTTGTATAAAAAATATATAAATATTAATGAATATTATATAGCTAATCAAGTATAACCGATATTAAACTAACAACTCATTGTTTGACTGCCTAAGTAAATTATCATATTATAAAAAGATCCATCTTAGAATTTCATTAATGTTCTAGAGCACCAGTTACTTTTAATCTTAGGGTTTCATTTAAGATCATGGTCAGTCTTTATGTGCGTTGACATATTATTAAAGAAATCGGTTCTTAGCAACGACCGATTATATGTTGTTGTTTTTACGCGTAAGTAATAGATAAGAAATGTGCATTGACAAGTTCTTAAAAAAAATCTTTTTTTTTTTATCACAACCAATTGTATGTTGTTACGCGTGTAAGTAATAGGTTAAGAAGAGTCAAGGTCAACATTGATTATACGTTGACATGTTAAGTAATAGATCAAGAAGAGTCATTGTCAATATTTATTATACGTTGGCATGTTCTTAAAAAATCGATTTTTAGTCACGGACAATTATGTTGTTTGTTTCGCGTGTAAATAATAAAAAAGTGTTGAAAATATTAGTTTGTGGGGACGACGAGTTGTTCAGTTATTGAACAAATAATGTTGTGTACAAGAAAGTTTGAATAATATATTTTTTTGCATGAGGAACATTTTATGGTTTGATAATTTTCCTACGAATTATCACTCTTTTATTTATTAATACATTTTAATTTTTAATATTCTCCAAAAGTAAATACAGCCCGTGCATCGCACGAGTTACATACTAGTTTGGTTAGAACTTGAACTATTTGTTTCAAATATCAATAGTCAATCACAAATCCATTTGTAAATGAACATTGGACATGTTTGTGGTTCATTATAAAATAACAGTGTAACTGAGTTTTGTTGCAAACGAGTCTACTAGATGCAAAGCGCATAACAGATCGATATGAACATCAATAGTTCTTCTCGATGAATGTTGCTTCCTAAAAATCCGATTAAAAACATGGATAAAGAGTAAATAATAACTAAAGTAAAAAATTATTATTTACTCTTCAAATAAATAAGTCATTTCCAAAAAGGTTAATAATGATTCTAAAGGTATTATTTTACACTACAAATCACTGTTTTGAAACCCTCATAGATAATGACCCTGGTTGGCGTTCACATCACCGATTCTTTCCAAGAAGTTAAAGAGTGATTCTAAAGGTATTATTTTACACTACAAATCACTGTTTTGAAACCCGTGTAGACAATGACCCTGGTTGGCTTTCATATCACCGATTCTTTCCAAAAAGTTAAAAATGATTCTAAAGGTATTATTTTAAACAATAAATCACTGTTTTGAAATCTAAACAATAAACCATTGTTTTGAAATCCTCGTAGATAATGACCCTGGTTGGCTTTCCTATCATCGATTATTTTCAAAAAGTTAAGAATGGTTAAGGTATTATTTTACATTACAAATCACTATTTTGAAACCCGCATAGACAATAACCTGGTAATTAGCTTTCATATCACTGATTCAACCATAGGATTAATCACATAATTGGATAATTAATGTAAAAATTAATAAATCATATATAAGAATTCCAATAAAAAAAATTATAAGAAAAATGTAAATCTCAAAATCTAATTATTATTATTATAAATATAAATATTATTATTATTATTATTACTGGACCCATGAGAAATTTTTACATTCTTAAAAAACCAACAGTAGGCATATAGACTGATCATCAACAAGAACACCAAACTTTGAAATATCATAGCAGTAAATCCAAAAGAGCCTAAAAATGCCTGTAACATAGCAGCATTATACAAGCATGACCCTTCAAAAACGATGGCATAACTTACCACCACACGAGGTAGGCACCTCAACCTGTGTCGAAAGTATTCCCGAAACAAAAAATCTACGCCCGGCTTCATTCCCATTCATCAAAAACTTACCACCAACCCCACACCAAAACATATCGTAAAGTTATCGTGCCGGCTAAGATCGACAAAAGGTTACCCCATCCAAATATTTTTAAAAAAAAAAAAAAAATGCCACATTATTCCCAGCCACCCGCAGTACCCCAAGTAGTTTCATTGTTGTACGAGCCAGCAGCACCACATGAAGGATCAAAATCCGAGAAATTCACATCAGCAGGGGGATCGGCTCCCGCATAAGGATCTTCTTCATAAGTAGGCCCATTGTTGGCCCAACCTGAATTTTGTTCATAAGCAGGCCCATTGTTGGCCCAACCTGAATTTCCTTCATGAGGCCCATTGTTGGCCCAACCTGCAGATTTACGGCCCGCATATTTACGGCCACTGCCATAATAGCTGCTGTCTTGGGCTGCCTCGGCATACTCATTGAGCCAGGAAGGCACTTCCTGCTTTGCTTCAAGCATGAGCTGAATGAGCGACTTTGCAAGAGGAGAATTCTTTTCGGAGAAAAAAGCAGTGGCCACCCCAGATTTTCCGGCCCGGCCCGTCCTTCCGATCCGGTGGACGTAGTCATCTATGGCTCTCGGAAGGTCAAAGTTTACTACATGGGCCACATGCGGAATGTCGAGCCCTCGAGCAGCCACGTCAGTCGCTACAAGGATAGGAGTTCGGCCAGTTCTGAATGATTTGAGGGCACGCTCCCTCTCCTGCATTTTCAACACATGATGGGTTCAAAGAATCATTAATAGCTTGTGCTAAATCAGAAGTCATTAGTCATCAACCGAGCACAGTAAAGGAAAGCCAAACTAACCATCTGTACTTTGTCACCGTGGATGGCAGTAGCAGGAAAGCCTTTCATGGACAACCATCTCTCGAGTGCATCTGCTCCTCTTTTCGTCTCCACAAAGACTAGAGTCAAAACATTCTATGGCAGAAAATTTATCAGTCATTCAACCATACAAGCTAGTGGGAAAAAATAAACATCTAGCAATATAATAGTGAAGAAACAATGCCCGACGGGTATGCATCACCTTAGCAGGGGTGCTATTTGTCTTTTGACGACGAAGAATATCAACCAAATAGTTCCGTTTGTCTGAGTCAGCCACAAACTCAACTCTCTGAACAATGAGATCGGTACTTGAGCCGACTTTTCCAGCTGCAAGAAAGATGTAGTTCGAGAGAAAATCTGATGCCAGCCTCTGCAAAAGTGAATTAGAAGGATGAGGACCTGAAAACAAAAATTATACCTCACGGGTGCTTTTCTACTGATAACAATCATAAATAAATAAATACAAGCATAAAATGCTAATGCTTAATACCTATATGAATGACATTGAGAAGGATAAAATAAATAAATAAAAAAAAACCCGTATTTCATCAGGGAATGTTGCACTGAAAAGCATAGTCTGTCTCGAGCCTGGAGGGGGCATCCCCATTTGCTGAACAATCTCTCGGACTTGGGGCTCAAAACCCATGTCGAGCATTCGGTCCGCCTCGTCCAGTGCCAAGAACTTAACATTCCTCAGGGATACTCTTCCTCTTTCTATCATGTCCACGAGACGGCCTGGGGTTGCAACCAAGATGTCCACACCCATTTCCAGTTTTCGCAACTACAGAGGCAGAATATGGATCTCTAAGCATAGTTCTCAGGTTGCAGATTAGAGACCATGCATTGTGTAAATCCGTATCTTAACAATTCATATCACACTGGTCTTTCACAATAAATATAGGTAACACCAAAACTAACTTTAAGTAGTAACGTCTTACTATATCGTTATGTTGAATGTATGACATAAATAAGGCAGACCATGGCACTAATCATTTTTTATAAATAATGTTTAATGTTGTCTCAAAGAAACAATTAACCACCATATACTCAATATGACAATTGTTTTCCAAAGAAATCAGAACATAGAGATAGGTGAAGAGATAATCAGCAAGAGTATGTAAAAAGTAACACAAAAAATTTCGTTTACTTGCAGTTTCAAATCGTACTTTGATCAAACATCCACTCACTCTAGGAATTCATCTCATTTTTCTTGACAACATTTTTACATTATTAAACACCAAAAATAGCAATGGACATAGAAAAGGCCTTATGGTTATTCGCTGAAAAGATGCAGATCTTTGACAAAAAAAATATATTGCAGTAATACATTAGTAATATACAAATAGTAGATGAAAAATCGTTACTTAGAAAAATATAATTTTATTTGAAGTTTCATAAGGAACGTAAGACCCAAAAATTATATGATGAATCTTAAGTTAAAAAAAAAAGTAAATCTACAAGAAGCAACTTTTTCAAAGAACTTTTTAGTTTTCAAGTACATATTTTAATTAAGAAAAACTGAAAACCTGGTTTCTGATGAATTTTAAGAAACATTTTCCAGCTCCTGAAGATGAGATAAAATCGATATTTACAATGAGAAATATTGATTAAGTTATTATTTTCGAATCACAGCAAACAGACATTATCTAATTACCCCAAATTAATACTGATACATCACTAATAAAAGTAGATATATGTAGCGTAAGAAAATTTGAGATGAATACGAGAAAAATGCTTTCTAACTCGCAACTAAAAATCAACAATGCCAAAAAAATTTCTAATATAAGATTAAAAAGATACGAAAATGAACAACAAAATGACATAAACTGTGACAATAGCTCGGATGCTACGGCTTTCATTTTTTGGTTTAGTGTTAGGACAAATGGCATATGTTTTCATTAGTAGGAAAGCATTAGCTCCAGTACTTATATTAACTGTGAGTATTCTGCTATCTACAGAAACCAACACCCACAATAAACCAGAAGAAAAGCTCAATTCTGATGCAACATTAAACTAATTCTTAATATAAGGTTTTGTGTACTAAAGCAGAAAAGGAGAAAAATGTCGAATTTCAATTACAATACCCTATGAATTTGTCATGTTTGAGTTTATGCAGTTTCAATTATAATTACACGATAACTCTAGACGTATTCAACGACAACATATGCTCAACATGCACAGAAAGTAGGAAATATAAGATCCACAAGATATATAAAATAATCATATTCTAATGTAATTTTCATTAATATCAAATGTGTCCAATACCAATAACATAGCTTTCAAACCTGTTGGACCATAGGAGCCCCACCATAAACAGCCACAACTCTGACTCCAGTTTGATGTGAGAACTTGGCGGCCTCATCATGAATCTACACATGAAGCAACACCGGCAAAACTCATCAAAGCTTGAACGTGACCAAGCAAAACAAAACCCATAACTTGAAATCAAAATATAATGCATAAGGACATCCAAATCCATACTAGCAGTATTATTGACCTCTCTATTTTTATCTCTCATTCAGCTCAACGTGACTAAACAACAACATATCAACTACGTAATGAATCGAAAACGAAAGACGTCGGGATTTGTAAATAATGAAAGCACAACAAATGTTATACAGATTACGGCAACAGAAATGAACCAACTGCAGCTAACCAAAGATAGATAAAACGGCATTTGTTGCAGGGAAAAAGAAAACAGAAAACAAGAAAAAAAAAAACCATGTTCATTGACCCATTGAAAAAGTGAGATGTGAATCAAGAAACCACGTACTAAAAATAGAAGACGAACACTATCAGTGACAAACAAACCCCAAAATGCGGATAAAAAATATCATCTACATTTTCAAAGGAATGGGAAAACATATAAAAAGGAAAATCACCAGCACCTGACAAGCCAGCTCTCGGGTCGGAGCTAGTATCAGGGACAAGGGCGACGCCAATCGGGTAGGGCCGCCTCTATTTCCGTTGAAGACCTTGCTACGCTCCTTATCCAGCATAATGCCGTTGATAATGGGGAAGCAAAAAGCCGCTGTTTTCCCCGAACCGGTTTGCGCACACGCCATCAAATCCCTCCCCGCTAAGGCCACGGGGATCGCGTACCTCTGTATGGGGGTAGGGCTCACGTACCCACACCTCTTTATGTTGTCGATCAGGGCCTTCCCGGAGAACCCTATCTCCAGAAACGACATCGCCGGCGGGGGAATGTCGGCCCCGGTCGCCTCCACCGGGGTTTCGTCGTACGCGGTGGCGCTTTTCGTCTCCGGCATAGCGTCTTCCCCGAATTGCGAGGTGATCTCTAGGTCGTCGAACTTCTGCAAGACGTCTAGCGGCCCGTGGGAGTCGCGCCGCGGCTGGCGGCGCCCGCGCGAGGAGGCGTAGCGTGAGGGGATGGTGACGGTAATCTCGGGCTGGGAGCGGGCATGGGGTGGGTGGTAGTTTGTGCGGGTGCGGGTGCGGGTTCGTGGGCCGTCGGAGCCAGTGAACCACGGTTGCGACATGGTTGTCGAGATAGCTAGAGTGTGGAGATAGGAGACTGACAATGGAGGGCTTTTCTTGGTAAATGATGAAGAACTTGTGTGTAAATTATTTATTATTTATTCTTTTTTTAATTGTTTTTTATTTTATTTGAAAAGGGGAAATTGAAAAAATCCGTACGGAATGCGGATCGTCATTTGCAGGCAGGCGAATAATGTGTGGGATTGATGCGAATATTGTGAAATGTATTGGGCGTCTTTTCAAATTTCAAAAGATTTGGGGACTGACAGTGCAATTAATGAGTGGGTGGAGGAGACGTTAGTGGAGTAAATTGTGAATAATGGCAGTTTTTAACTATTTATCTTATGGTCACGATGGTGAAGTTGGAAAGTCGAAGCGTACTTGCTATGATATGGGCGGCTCTCTCTCTCTATCTCTCTCTCTCTCTCTCTTGTTCCCAATAATGACTTTTATTGGTTGGGTTAATTTTTTTTATTATTTTATTTTTACCAGAAACATCAAATTCAAATATTATTAAAAGAAAATTCAAATAATTACAAAGTATGCCCCAAACAAGTACAAAATCCTTGAAGTTTTATTAGATTTGAATCTCTCTTAACTAGTGTGGGTAGTGCCCTATGAAATTTTTAGCCCACATTCACAAACACCTACATTAGTATGTGAAATTTGTGGTTAAAACTTCATGGGGCACTATCTACATGGGTAGCATGAATTCAACCCTCCTAATAATACAACTAGAACTGTGTCCCTCAAAAAAATTCCCCTCATATGTATAGGGTCGAGCCGTGTATATTAACCTAGAGTCAACGAGGAGTTGAGATTTCTTGAGGATGAGGCCATAGTGTGTTGGGGCTATAGTATAAAAAGTTACCCTCCAAAGTTTTGTCATAGTCACACACACTTGTCGTTTTCTACTGTACTTACATTCATGTTTGTGAAAAAAAAAACAAAAAAAAGAACATAATTACACACACTTGTCGTTTTTTATTATGTCTTAGAGTCATGTTTGTGAAAAAAAAAAAATATGTAGAAATATTTTGCCATTGAAATTTTCATTAGAATATATTAATTTTCTTGTAGTGGAATTTTATGATCACATTTGAAAAAGTTATTTTTTTTAACTCTTTATAAACGATGTTTTGCGTTTTTTAAAAAAAAAAGTGTGCGGTTAACAAGAGTCAGGGTCATCCTTTATCACATAATGGCATATTCTTGAAGAAGTCGATGTTCATTTGTCGCCAGTTGTACGTAATTGTTTCACGTGTCACTAATCGAAAGAGCTTGAAACTATTAGTTTGCAGGGAGAATGGTGTGCCTACAAAGAAAACAAAAAAATATTGTCTACAATGAGGTTTTTAATAAATATTATTATTTTATTCTATTTATTTAATTTTCTTTATTCACGGATATAATAATCAAGTTGGATACATAGCCTAAAATTGTCCACTCCGTGCATCGCACGGATTCTGCACTAGTTACAAATAAAACTAAACCATTAAAAAAATCAAATTGACCTTATATTTTTTATTAAAAATATGACAGGAAAATTACTGTCCCCGGGGCACAACCTACTTATGGAAATGGCGCCCTAGTGGGCCTGCAAGCTCCGTGTAGTGGGTGTGAATCCTAAGAAGAAGAACCCTTGATAGTTTTACTGTGGCAAGTTAAGGACATGCTGTTAGTTCTTCCTGTAGTAGTAGGCCCTTTGGGGCCCAAGTTTATAAAGGGAAGCGGTTGGACCTCTGGCAAGACACATCCCGCAATTTAACTCCTAACTCTCTTTTAGGGGTTAGAGGTGTGGGGTCAATGACTAGTCAAGGCGTAGGCCTCGAAGTTGGGTATAAAAAAAATAGAGTAAATAAGGGAAACCATCCAAACCAAGCCAAAGGAAAAACAAAAACAAAAAGACTAAAGAACTGAGCGAGAGAAACAAAACCCCATATGACAAACTAAGTCACTAAACATAAGGGACAAAAGAGAGAAAATAGTAAGACCCCAACCAATAAATCACCAGAGTTGATCCCTAGTTGCACAACCAAGCCACAACAAACAACCCAAATAACAAAACATGCATTGCTAGCCAATGAGGTAGCCTTTAGGAGCAAAATAACAAAAAGCACAACAAAACAACAAAGGCAAAAGCACCCAAAAAAAAAATAAAGCAGCAAGAAGCACAACAAAAAACCAGAACGGAAAACCTAACATCAATTCTCCAAAAAAAAGGACCATATCAAGAGGTTGCTTGGTTTGAAACTTCAAATTTTGTTCCTCTTGCTACTTCCAGATCAGTTTTCCAAGTCTTCTTAAAACAACTCAACTATTTCTAGTCCCTCATAGCCATCGAAGTGTATAAGTTGAATGATTAATCTTGTATGTTATGCAACAAACGACATTAATATAGCATATGCCAGACCACAAAGTTCTAAAGGAACCTGAAGAGTTCAGCACAATACCCCAATCTACTCCCGCTAATTTCCAAACTCGAGCAGCTCTAGGACATTTTTAAAAATAAGTTCCAGCTCACCCTCCTCCTTTTCTCCACACAAATGACAAATACAATCAAACTTCAAGAATTTCTGTTTTAACTGATCAGAAATACTGAGGTAATTATGGCAACATCTCTATAAAAAAATTCTTAATTTTACCCTACACCTTTAAAGACCAATTTTTCCTCAAAATTGTTTCAACTTTAGCTGAACTATTACTTGATTTGGGTTTTTGAAGCTTATCCTTTTTAGCCTTAACTATTTATGCAGTATCTTATTCAGATATTGCTTCTGAATCAAACAAAGCTTGCCTCTCATTCTGTCCCTGCGCATCTGCCTTTCTTTCCCTGCTGCCCGGTATTCCACTATCCCAGGTCTTGCAGAACCTCGTGCGCTAGTATTCTCTTAGTTATAATCTGTTGCTACTATTTCAACAAAATGTCGTTACCTATTTTTGGTTATAAATTCCTAGAAGCTTGTGTGCGTTCATGAGCCCATGCTAAAGTTTCAATCAGTTTCTGCCAATATCCACGCCAGGAGATTAAAAACATAAATCCAGTAACCCAAACAAGATGTCCGAACAGGAACATCCACGCCCAACCGATAAACTATTTGCAATCTTTGGAATCGGATGGCTGGATCCCATGCCTGAACCCCTGCTTTCGAAACTTTATTTCTCCTCGTCGGGGACTTCCGCTGCTTCTGGTTGCGCTGCTACAGTGAAGTCATAAGTATTGCCTCAGAAAAGTTCGTCGACTTTTCAAGTTAGCTTTAGAGAAGGATGAGAGTTACGCCGTATGCTTGGGCCATCGGGAGCCTGATGTATGCTATGGTCTGCACCCGGCATGCCTAAAGCTAAAGGCAAAGAGCTTCTTCAATAACCAAGTTGAGTTGTTTGTAAGTAGATTAAGTAATTTTTTTTCGAAACGATAGAAATTATTATAAATCAAAAGCGCACAAATGTGCGAATACAAGCAGCCAACGGCTGAAAAGTGAGAGGACAGGTCCGGAGACCGCCTAGAAACCCGGCTAGCAACCGCTAGGAAGAAAAACTCGCAACTAAACTAAACAACTAGACAAGACCCGCACAGGGTAATAAAACAACGACACAAACAACAAAAACAACTAGACAAGACCCCCACAGGTTAATACCGAAGTGTCGGACCCCAATTGGAGTAATAAATTTGACACCCAGATGCACTGAGGCCAACGGCCCAGACCTAAAACACGATCACAAACACTTAAACAAACACAAATAAAACAGACACATAAACAGGAAAAACAACGAAATAAAATAGAGCCCTCCCCCAGCGAGCATACAAATCCAACCAGCAGTGGACGATCAACACAAGAAAGATCCCTGCCCGAGAATCCGCTACTGAAACTGCGAACTGCCTATACAGTAGAGAACACCGAGCCCCGAACTGATCCCAGAATCGACCCATCCTCAACCGAAAGAACTGCAGCCAACCTTCA